AACTTGTATCAAGTTAGGGATAAAACACGTATTCAACCGTTACACAAACGAAAAGCAGAAGGGCATCTCAAGAAAGTTAGCACAGCTTTATTATTCATTTGGTTAAAATTTCAATGAATATGTTTGTGTTGTACATTATACTTTGTTGAGAAATAAAAATGTGAGATACATGGTAAAAAAATTGGTGATCAAAAGTATCTTTTTCTGATGGTCATTTATATCTAAATAATTTGGTGATCATTTGTATCTAAATATGTTTGGTGATCAAAAAATCCAACTTAAAATATGTATGCATTGTTGATCTATCCAATAACACAATAACAAAAGAGTAATAGAATAATGCTAAATTGTTACAATTATTAGTACCTAATTTAGATTATACTTGAATATTAATGTTCGTTGTAATGTTGTTATTTTATTGATGCGACAGTTGCGACAAATACAAAAGTTAACAATACATAAAGAATATCATACGTTTTATTGATAAAGGAGCGTTGAAAAACTCAATACGGACATTTCTGCTGTTATTAACAAAACTTAAACTTATATTCAAAGATGTGCCTAATGATTTTACTGAACTTATTAAATCTTATTATGATTTAACGTATAATCTTGAAGAATTTGTTTGACGTGATATTTATAATGAAATTATTAGTACTATGAATCGTCGTAACTGATTTAATCGAATAAGAGAATGCTAAAATATTATCGAGAAAAGCCCAGTGCCTCGGTTATTTTCTGAATAACTAGACAACAAACAGAGCCTGTTAACTTTCAAGAACAAAAATCTGCAGTTACTTTTGGCTAGATAATCAGAACAGATCAAAATTATAATCACATTATACTATATTTTCTTTTTCTAATAAGTTCTATATAAAAAATTTTACGATGTATGTATGTGTCTCATAACTATAGAAATAAAAATGTATGCACGCAAATAGTTTAAAATTGTGTTTTCGGACGTTCAGCAATCCATTTTTTTAAATTTGGATTCTGTGGCACATTATCGACAGCTGCTTTCAATGCTTTGGCAGATTCTAATGCCTTTGCAACCGATGCTTGATCATCAAAAGATTGACAGAAATTGTATAATTGAATATCGGCTAATGACAACTTTTTGCCAACAATAAAACCATTTGATCCAACTGTTTCTGCTAGTTTATTGAATGCTTGAAATGATCTTTGCAAATCTTCTTCAAAGAATTTCTTTACATCGTTACTTTCTTTAGCTTTCGTATAGGCTTGTTTCAAATCGTTGATCTGTTCGCCGACACTATCAATTTGTGCTGCTTCAATATGCGTATCGCCAATCAACTTGAATTCTGTAGCCAGATATCGTTCGATGGCATGTGATTGACTAATTGACGATTTACCACCATCTAATTCGAGTACTGGAACTTTACCAAATAAATATTTCGATTTATCATTATCCCATTCAGGACGTATGGGTTTCCCTTCAGTGAATTCTATCGGATAACGAAAATCTTCAAATTCGACACCGGCAGCTTTGAATAACATACGGCTGTTTTCAGCGAGTGCACGAACATTGAAATAGATCAATTTATACGTTTTTGGTGATGACGACATGTTGAATCAATCGATGAACAAATTTATGATCTACAGTGAAAAAGAAAAACGGTTCCTTTTAAATAGAGAAGATGTAATGCAAATAAAAACTGAAAACAATAAAAGGATGTATAAAACTTGTTAAGTTTAAGTAATAAAAGCCATATTTGGGAGCTGCCGCTGCCGCAGAAGAAGGAAGAAAATATTCCACATTTCAAAGAAACATTCGATTTTCGTCAAACAAACTTTTCGCCTTCTGATGCGAAGTCACTACGTCGCTTTCTGAGAACCGGTAAACAAGCGTACCTCACTTAAATGGATTTTCCCTTCACTTTAGTCTTGAGTGTTATAAAATGGTTATCTGTCTATGTGCAAAATATGGAATAATGGCTGTCAGATATTCCATGGATAAGCCAATCACAAGACAGAAAAATAGAAAATTATTTTTTACACGAGAACGAAAACATTCAAAGAGATGATTGAAATAATATTCACTGATGCAGAGAGAACAAAGCTAAGAAAACTTTTAATGTATTTCGGCAATAGATGTAGCCACAAATAATAAAAGTTACAGAATATACATGATCTGTATCGTGAATCCATCAGAAATACTTGCAATCCCCCTTCGAATCTTCCGAAGATGTTCAGAAATCTTTTTAGTTTATATTACATTGTGTGGTTTTTCGGCGAAATCACAGAAGTTCACAACATTTCTCGAAGGGTTAAGATACGTCAGGACTGAATTTAGGGCTACCCTATTGTGTTTTCTCATCGGTTCGCCCTATTTCAGTGAGAAAGTAACCATAACCTTTTTTATTCTTTTCTCAAGAGAACACTTAAAACTAACGAATTTATTCCTTTGACTTTAGTCTAGAGTTTTACAAAATAGTTGTCTGTGCGTGTGTGTGTGTGTGTCCAGAAAGCGTTTTAGCTTTATATTAGATTGTGCGCTTTTTCCGAGGAATCAGAGAAGTTCACAGCATTTGTCACTTTTCCTGGATGCGAACGCCGACCGAAGAGATGCATGAGCATTGATTTCAACTGAAAAATCTTTTTAGACTTCTGGGGATCTTTGAAGGCCCTTGTAGGACCATTAAGCTTTACATTATATTAGGAAGTTTAGACATCAAGTCAAAGAAAAATTCATGATATATTTTAGATGTCCTCTAGCCAATACCGACCGAAGGGAGGTGTGAGCTTTATTTTGGATTTAAAGTGATGAAAGATCGTTCGCAGATATAAGTTCCTAAAGTCAAGGAACCGCTCGAGTACAGACGAGCGTCACCTTGTTGTATTAGCTGTGAGTCGGACGATAATACCCCTGAAAAACTTTTGGCTTGCTCAAATTTTTTAAGAAATTTAAGTTGAGAAATTGTCTGATATGCACCTGAGTAAGTGATTTTCATTGAGAAAAAACTTTTAGTCAAAAACTGAGTTACTCAATTAAAAAAACTTTTGTTACTCAACAGGCTCGCCGCCCCCCACGAAAACTACTATCGAAAACCCTGATTAGTGAAGACTATCGAAAATATTTTGTTACTTTTTCTCGGATTTCATGTGTAATCTTTCAAGCTTGGTAATCTAATGCAAATCTAAAGAGTTTTTCGCGAGACCCTCCAAATATCCCTCTGAAGATTAAAAGGAAAGCGAAAGTATTTCTGATAAATTCGCTATGAAAGATTATCTATATTCTGTAAGTTATGTTATACGCATATGACCTTTTAGTTAGTTATCAAAACTAACTAATATTTGGCGACATCTGTCTCTAGACCATAGAAAAATTTTGCTAAGCTATCTTTCTCTTCATCAGTAGATGTTGCAGATCTTTTCTTTCTGTCAACAAGCGACAACGTTATTTCGATTTTTCTATTTGAATAAACTGATCAAACAAAAAAAATGGATAACCAGCCATACACACGACTACACAAGTCGACAATCTTGAGATCATTTCTCACAGAATCTTCATTTTAGGACTTTCTTCCTGAGAAAGTCATTTTTTTCCAGATTTTTACACTAGTCGACAATCAGCCACGTCTGAATAGCTGAATCAGCTTTCCAGTTTTTTCAGCTCTGAAAAAACTGAAAATTATTTTTCACAAAAATATTTGTTATTGTCCCTTTCTTCTCACTGATTCCGAGCTGAATATCCTGATCAATACTTTCAGGGCTGATTCAGTTAATCCTCAGTAATAATGTT